ATAATTCTGTTTTTATGAATACCTTAATTTGCTCGCCTATAATTCTAGCTGCTTGGGAGGCTGTGCGGTTTCAAGGCCACAGCCCAGGCAAGTAGCTCCCCAGACCCATCTCCAAAAAGATCCCAGAGCAAAATGGTCTGGAGGTGTGGCTCAAGTGGTAGAGCATCTGCTTTGTAAGCAGAAAGCCTGAGTTTCAAACCTCAATGCCCCCCCCACACACACACACACACAACTGCTCAAGTTGAACGGATGTTATGCATGCTCTTTCCGAAGTGTTGCACGTAAGAAGCAGTACGGTAAAAGTGCACTGTGTTTTACACGAATGGCATTTGAGCATAGTGGAGAGTATTTCTTAAAATTCCTCAAGGTGGATTTTCTAGGTCAAATTCTAGGTAGTTTTTAAGAGTACACTGCCCCCAGAGATTGCTGGGCTTTAGACTTTACCACTTAAGCCCACGTCCCTAGTCCTTCTGTTTTTGAGAGCATCTAAACTTTGCCCAATGACTCAATCTTGGTCCTCCTGCCTCACTCCACAGTAGGTGGGATAAAGAATAGGCCACTACGCTTGGATGAATTTACTCTTCCAATACATCCACCTTTGTTGTATTTGAATGTTAGACACGTATGCCCATCACCAGAACTGCATGTTTTTTGAGAGGAGGCACCTCAATAAGTATTCACGAATTTAGACCTTGGAGTTAAACAATTATATAGCCCAAGCGCGTCTTTTGGCTTTTGAATGTAGCAGAGTCACTAAAATATCTATTTATAGATTCGTTACCGGGGACTAGCCTTGCTAATTGTACTTCAAGCTTTTTATGTTAAGACAAGCAAGACTGCACTAAGCCCTTATCCGTCTGTCACACTCCCTCCTTTCCCGTAGCGTTCTCCCAGGAGCGGGAAGGGGCGTGGCCAGCACTACGGGCCGCCTACCTGCAATTTATTGGTTCAGCTTGACTTGAGCCCTTTACTACTGAGTCCCGCTGAAGCCACGCCCCCAGGCGGACAGCTGAGCCGGGAAAAGGCGTGGGCATTGGCACACCGGGCAGTCTTGGCGTCTGCTCTTGGTAGACTCGGGGCGAGCTTGAGGGCCGAGCTGGAGAGCCGGTGGGCTGTGGGGAGCGGGCTGAGTCTCCGTGCCAGTACGGGCGGCGACCAAGAGGCGCCCAAGCGAGGTGCCCCGGCTCTCAACAGGCCGGCGCCGGCCCCGCCCTCTTGGCACGCAGGCCCCGCACGCGCTCGGCACGCGGCGTCGCGCCAGAACCTGGGTCGGCCGGCGGGAGCTGGGACTGGGCGGGCGCCGGCCTTGCTGCTGAGCTACAAGGGGAGGAGCTCGGGAGGCCACTGCGGCTGCCGAAAGAGAGGAGCATGTCTGCAACTCGAGCCAAGAAAGTGAAGATGGCCACCAAATCGTGCCCCGAGTGTGACCAACAGGTGGGCGCCTGGAGCGGGCGCGCGAGCGGCGGGGCGGGCGCGCGCAGGTGGGCGGCAGTTGCTCTGCTGCCGTTGGCTGCGCGGAGGCCGTGTCGCCAGGGTCCGGCGGCCCAGCGGTTGGGTCGGCTGTGGGCCAGTGGTGGCGGCAGAGTCCGAGTCCAAGGCCGGCGAGGGCTTGCGGGAAAACGGCCTGGTTCGCCTGCCGGCAGTCAGACGAGCCAGTCCCTAGGTCCCGCCGGGCTTGCGTGGGGCTGTGGGGGGGCGTGGATTTGTCTGTGGGGACCGTCCGGAGTCGCCTCGCCGGCTTGGGTGACAGCGGTGGATCGTGGACGAGCTCGGCCTGGTCAAGCCTCCCGGGCACAGCAGGGCGCCCACGGTGCGGAACTCCGAGCCCAGGCCCAGGCCCAAGCTCCTAGAGTCCTTCCTGCCATACGGGGTTGCTTTGTTCCCAATTGAGATGTGTCCCGTGGGTGTCCTTAGAAGGTCCCCACCTCGACCGGCGGTGCGGAAACCCTACAAAAGCGCCCGCACTATAGTGATGTTAAGTTTCTGCGAATTTGGGGATTTTCCTCCTAAATGTACTTACTATATTTGTATTGTTGCGTGATCGCGAGTCTTTTGTGTACTTTGTTGCTAATGAACACTACCCGAGAACGTCCACATTGAGGCTCTTTCCCTTCTGGGCGCTGCTTATCCCACCGCTCCCAGTTTTCACTGTTGTAAATTTGACGTGCCTACTTTCCGATCTTTATTAAAATCGTATGTAGTTTTGTGAATTTGAAATGGTTCCTGTCTACATTGACTTCATGGTGTAAGAGTTGTAATTTTTTTCATTTTATGTTTCCTACATTTAAGCCTCATTTTGTTACTAGAATGAGGGACGTTCCTTCAAGCCTTTATAGTGTAATGAGTTAAAACTCAATTAAAACCGCTCGTAAGGCCCTTATTTTATGCCAGCATGTGTATTTGGGTGCGTTTTTTTCCTTTTCCACTGAGTGATTTTGTTTTTTCAAAATAACTATCTCTCCTCCCCCTTTCTTTCTTCCTTTCCTTTTTTTTTTTTTCTTGTTCGTTTTACATTAGTAATTTGAAATGTCTGAAGACTTTTTTTTTAAGTAAGCAGATTAATGTATTCTTTAAGGAACAATCTTGTTGATGATCAAATCCTGTAACAGAAAGCATGTTATATGTTTTATTTTGTATCATTTATGGGCAGTGGTAAAAATGCTGATCACAGAAAGGTGTTACAGTTTATTGAGCTCTACCAGCATGCCATATAAAAACCAGTTTAGTCATGTTTTCCAAAGTGAAGCGTTACATTCATTCTTACCATTAAAATAAACGTTAAATTCCAACAAAATTGGGCTTTGCGATGTAATTCGTTTGGCAGGTTACTTAAGTGTTTCAATCATTTCCATTTATTTCAGTTAATTGTGCAGAAATGCAAGGTTTACATGCTATGTATTATGCATTCCAGTCTTTGTAGGGCACAAGTCATTACAAATCATGTTCTTGTTTTACTTGGCATAAAGAAAACTTTCTGGAAAATAATCTGTTTTTAATATCCTAGTTAAAGAGCAGAAAATAATAAATATTTAGGAGCCACTGAAGCTGTTCAGCAAAGATCATATTTGGAAAGATCCTATGTTTGTTATACATGCACATATGTATTCTTTTACTCAAAACCAACTATATCAGGTGGGTTGTTTAATGAACAGAAATGTATTTTCTCAAAATTCTGGAGGCTTGGAGTGCAAGATCAGGCATGTTCTGGTGAGGTCCCTGAATTTAAAGATGACTGTGTTCTGGACAGCCATGTGACACAGAGAGAGGGCAAACTCTTGTTTCATTATAAAGTCACTAATCTCATTATGAGGCTTCTATCTCATCTAAACCTAATTATTACTTTGTGATCTTTTATTCATGTATTTTGGGAGGGTACTGGGTATTAAACTCAGGCCTAGTGATTACTAGACAAGTAATTGAGCCACCCCAGAATTCTGATTATCTCTTGGACCTCATCTCCAAATATATTCCATCACATATCTCCCCTCACACTGAGAGATAGAGCTTCAGTCTGTGAATTGGGGAGTGGGGAAACACAGTTCAGTCCATAGCATGCTAGTAAATAATTTTACTTGTTGGTTTCTTTTGTCTTTTGTTCAGAATACTTGAGAATGTAACATACATGATGACAAATTAAAACTTGGTGATTTAGGTAGGTGTGGTGACATACACCTGTAATCCCAGCTACCGTGGAGGGGAATATTCAAGTTCAAGGTCAGCCTGGGCAAAAAAAGTGAGAACCTATCCCAGAAACAAAGTAAAAAGCAAAAGGGCTGCAGACATAGGTCAAGTGGTAGAACACTTGCCTAGGAAGCATGAGAAGACTGAGTTCAATCCCCACTAGTGCAAACCCAGGGCCTTGTGCATGTTAGGTAAGCACTATATCATAGCCCTACATCCCCAGCCTTTTCCTAAAGTGATTTTTCTCTTCATAAAACTAATTGAATTGAAAATACTAGATTAAATTTGGCTTTCTATTTAAAAGTATAAGCTAATTTTAGTTATAAACTGGAAAAAATTATAATCAAGAAAGACATTTTCTAAACATTACATTATAGACTGTTGCCATGACTAAGTTATCTAACAAACATTGAATTAGAATTTACATATAGTTAGAAACATAAAAGTAAAACCTTTAAAGTTCTAGGAGATTTCCCCAGCTGACTAAATTTGCCTATCCTATGTGCTTACCTTTTAAAAAACAGGTATAGAGAGGCAAACAAGAAAAAGCTAAATGTTCAGCTGCTTTATGACCTCTCTTGCAGGACTCTTTTAAAGATATACTTCTGCACTATACCTAACTACCAGTGCTTCTCAGTTTTCAAGGGGTTTTCATATCCATTGGCCACTCAAAATTATAAGCCATTTTATATGTATTACTATTCAAGATTCTTGCCAGTTTTCTGGTGTCTTTTGTGTATATTTTGTTTTGCCTTCTTTTTTTTTTAATAGAGCAATCTTTTTTCCATTTATAGGAAATTTATGTGACAGGTAATTGTGTCTGCTGTGGTTTGATTCTCTTAGTAAAGAATAAGTCTCTCCTTATTTGTGGGTTACATTTCCAAAATTTCCCAGTACATGGTACCCAATCCTGAATGTGTTGTTTTTTTTCTTACACATGTATGCCTATGGTAAAACTTAATTTATAAATCAGGCATAGTAAGATATCCATAACTAAATGTAGAACAATATATTGTAGTAAAGTATGTGAAAAGTTGAGTGAGAGTGTGAGCATGTAGTATATGTGAATGTTGTCTCAAGATATCTTATTGTACTATATTCACCCTTCTTGTCAAACTTGGGGAACTAAAAAACCCCAGAAAGTGAAACTGGTTAAGGTGGTAATACTGTAAATGAGTTCTCTGTAATATGGTTATTTTAGGGCTTTTTAAAAATCAGTGCATTAATCTGGGACCAAGGATTAGTTTTATGCAATATTTTAAAAATACTTTTACTTTTAAAACATACAAACAACCTAAGTACACTTTTCAAGGAATTAATTGATAAGCCACAAGTAGCTAGTACTTGGATTTATTTTTCCCATTTTTAAATCCTGAAAGTATAGCATTAGAACATTCGTTACTATTATCTTTAAGGGAAATTCAGTGTATTTGTATAAAATCCAAATTATATTGTAATTAATGAGATTAATATTCAAGTTGCCAACCTATTTCATAATTCTTTTTACAGGATCTGAGTTGTGTTGGTAGGTGGTTGTGTGTATATTCTGTTCCTGTTTCCCCTCTCCTCATCCCCAAAACTGTGGGAGACCGGGTTTGGAAGTGTTTCTGTTTGTAAATAGGACTTTTTAGACAGAATTAGCTCAGACACATGAAGGGTTCTTGAGTGGAACTCAGTAAGTTAACCTATCAATTGAATTAGTGCTTGTGCATCTGTGTCTCAAAGCCAAATGTGCATTTCTCATCTAACTGTAGTACTCTAATTATTCTGGATGTAAGTCAATATAATTTTTCTTGTATATGACAGATTCCTAAGTTCAAATGTATTAGGTTCTAGTAACTGGAAGAAAACGCTTGCTGGATTAGCAAAGGAGCTGTTGAATAAGAGCATCACGCTTCTGTGGGATTTTTTTTGGATAGCGTTAGTTTAAAACAGTTTACATTACCATAGATCCCCTATGATATGTTTAGGTGTAAAGGAAATGAGTTTGGTTTCTATGAAGATGTGAAATTTTAAAAACAACTGTATGTACTTTGAGCAGATTTTAAAAAGCATAGCATTTTACATTTACCATTATGGATTGAAGTGATCTTACCACATTCTTAATAAAGCAAGCTATTAGGCATACCTTTTTAATAGACTTCATTGTTATGTCTCTTAAATGCAAATTAGAGATCTTGTGTTCAGGATTTTTATGCAAAGAAAAAGAACTCTGCCACAATTTCAATTTGGCTTGATTGTGTGGAGTATATTCTAGAACATGAGGCAGTCTGTACATACATGGGTAAAAAGCTTTATAATTAAAATTCAGCTTCAGTGGAACTGGCAAACGGAGTTTATCTTACAAAGAGAACTGCAATTATCTGCTATTTGGGGAGTATTTTTAAAGGTTAATATCTGGTTTTTGGTGAAATGTCTTGATTCAGAAGATTATTAACTTCTAATAATAATGAGTGGTAATAGTGGTGAATCTAAAAAAAATTTCCATGATTTTTATAACCACATTTGTCTTAAAAATATTTATAGTCATGAAGTAGATAAAGAACTAAAAGTATTTTGGTCCTTCAACTATACTTTCCTCCTCAAACTGCTGATTGTGAACTCTTCTTGTGTCAGGAATAATACTGGTATCTTCTCTCATGTTAGAACCCTGATTTGTTTTTGGTTTTTCCCATTTTATCATCAGTAGTCAGTTTGGGCCTGACTCTTGTTTTTCCTATCTGTGAAACATCCAACAGATCTACATTTTCTCCATTTCCATTCTCACTATTCTAGTTGGGCTCTCATAATCTTTTGCTGGGATTACTTAATGATTCTTAACCACTTTCCCTTTTACAATTTGTTCTGTAACATAAACTGCTATCAAACTACCATTTTAGGAAGACTACATTTTTTCCTGCCTGCCTTTCCTGGCCCTGATCCTGTTAAGGTTTTCTGTTTTCTCTTGTATCTGTACCTACTTACATATTATTTATGGTATTGCTATAGTAAGGTATCCATGGTATTGTAAGCACTAAGAGAACTGAGTATGTATATGACATTCCTATTTCATATAATTTGTTGTAAGGAGGTAGGGTTTAAGCAAACCTGTGGCTCCTGTTTCAATTAATATATTCATTTGAGGATTTTTTCTTTTTCTTTTTTTTGTGGCACTGGGGTTTGAACTCAGGGCCTACACTTTAAGCCACTTCACCAGCCCTTTTCTTGTGTGTGTGATGGATTTTTTCAAGATAGGGTCTCTCGAACTATTTGCCCGGGCTGGCTTTGAAGTGCGATCCTCCTGATCCTTGCCTCCTGAGTAGCTAGGATTACAGGAGTGAGTCACCAGCAGAGACTACATAAATACTGAGAAATTTAACAGTAGAAAGAATAACATAGTTTTTTTTCTTTTTTTTCCCTGCAGGTTCCTGTTGCATGTAAATCATGTCCTTGTGGTTACATATTTATTAGCAGAAAACTTTTAAATGCCAAACATTCAGAGAAATCACCACCATCTACAGGTAATTGTGAAAGCTTAACACATTTTTAGCTTCTTATTTCTTATTTGTTTATTTATCAGTACTGGGAATTAAACCCAGGGTCTTGAGGATGCTAAAGCCAGAACTTTTACCACTTGAGCTTGATGTAGAAATTTATAGTTAATTTTTATGGATTTAATATTTACCTTTTTTTAAGTTAAAAATTTAAATCTTGAGGGTTGGGAATGTAGTTTAGTGGTAGAGCACCTGCTGAGCATGCTTGAAGACCTGGGTTTGATCCCCAGATCAACACTTACAAAACAATAGCTGGAAATCAGCTTAAAACATTGACTCATTCCATTTAAAGATTAACTCCCTTCTAATGTTGATAAAGTATATAATTTAAAATATTTTTGTCTATTTTAAATTTATTTAACAATCATGAAAAATAGCTTAATAATATAATTTTACATTGAGTTAATTGGACATACAGTGTCCAATTTATAGTGTACAGTTTGATAAGTTTTGACAAATGTAACACAAGTCAGTCATCACAATCAATTGTGAACATTTTTCATTCTGAAAAGTTTCATAGTTCACCTTTGGAATTTCTGCTTCCTACTGACTCCATTCCAAGTAACCACTGCTGCTTTCTATTACTACTCAGATGAGTGGAGTCATGCAGTATGTGCAATACTCTTTTTGTCTGACTTCTTTCACTGAGCATAATTATTTAAGATTCAGTTCATTCCTTTTATTGCTTAGTAGTATTCTTTGTGTAGATATGCCTCAGTTTGTACTTCACCTGTTGGTGCATAATAGTTTGTTGTTGGTTGTTACCCCTGCCCCCATGCTGGTAAAATTTGCAACAATTTTAAAGTTTTGGTCTTTTTTTTCTTCCTCCTTCCTTCCTTTTTTCCTTTCTTCCTTCCTTCCTTCCTTCCTTCCTCTCTCCCTCCCTCCCTTTCCCTCTCTTCTTTCTTTGCTGGTGTTTGAACTCAAGGTCTCACACTTGCTAGGCAGGCACTTGCCACTTGAGTCATGCCCGACCCTTGTTTGTTTGAAACTAGTGATTGTGGAAAAATGTAACTGGGTTTGGTATGAATATAATTTTTATTGGTTATTTATCACAATTCCCTGTTTGAGAATTTCTAGAACATAATTTTGACCTGGCACCAGTAGCTCACACCTGTAATCTAGCTACTCAGGAGGCAGAGATCAGGAAAATCGCAGTTCAAATCCAGTCCAGGCAAATAGTTCATGAGACCCTATTGTTGCTGGAAATTATGAGCTGAGATATGAGTCTCTGAGGCAGATTAGCAGGAAGCAACGTTTATTGTGCCGGCACAGACCCAGAGGACTTGTGTCCAAAGGCTGAGACCCGAGAACAAAGGAGTCTCACCTTATATACCCTTGCAAGCAGGTTACAGAAGCAAAAAGCAAAGCCCAACCCACATATGGCTGCATGTGACTTCATTGGCTATTTTATTTCCCCAGTGCTATGTGACCATCATATTTCAATTTTTTAAATTTTATCTCTCTGCTTTGCCATCCCCTCCCCATCTCATCATTCAAACACAGCCTGTCTGTTTCTTTTCTGGCCTCCCCTTTCTTACTACATTATTACCCCCTTTGATGCTCAGACCCACCCAGGGTCAAAGAGCATCATCTTCATCTAGGGGTTTGTATTTCCATAGCATCATTACATGTGCAGCCATTTTTCTTTCTATAATGGCCTCCATTGGGATCCTGTCCTCTCCAAGTCTCATGGGCAAGCTTTTTCATTCTGTCTATGATCTCTTTTATAACCTTTTTTTTTTTTATCATTAATCTGTAAGCAGCAGTTGTTTAGGTTAAATTTTAACAGTTATTAATTTGAGGTGCATGAGACTTCCAGGGTCAAGGCACTTTTTATCTATCCTTACGCCAATTACATGTCCCCATGTCCAATCAGATGGCTTTAAGTACAATGAAATTTATAGGGTTACAGGTGCCGTGGGTACAGTCGGGACAGCTTTCCCCTTGTGAAGGAGGGCTGCGTTCCCTCTGCTATGTGGCCCATGAAACACAACCCCAGTAAGGACAATAATAAGAACCCACATCATCACATGGCCAAGAATTGTCTCCCCAGAACATATACTTATCATGTGATGTATAGGCTCTTTCTGAAGTTAGGCCCTCATAGCCATAGCCTATACCTCCATATCCACCCTTGTCTATGGCTGCACATGCATCAAAGAGCATTGACGCTGGTTTATCAGGGCTAAACACCTGGGTGCAGCTGACAAGGTTCCCAGGATTGTGGACTCGCCTGATCTGTAACCATTGTTCCTGAGGGTGGTAAGTGGGGTTGAAGCAGATATGCTGATTAATATAGGAACACATTGAATAGATGGTATGGTTGTGAGTGCATGACCCAATGACAGTGCCTGCACAAGAATAGTAAGTATGGAATAGCAAAGTCCTAGTGACAACATTTCCTGCCTGAGTAGTATGCATACATAGGTCACAGGAGGAGGGCTCTGAGGCCACAAAGGGAAACCACATCAGTAACAATAAACAGTAATTATGTATCCTTCCCAAAAGAGACAGAAGAGAGCAAATAAAAACCTTTTATCATGAGTCCAATCAGCGGGGACAGTTTCTGCCAAACCTATGGCAAAGATTATGGTGAGAATTCCAGCAACAGTTACAAACAAGGGGTGACAGTGCATCACAGTCTAATTACAAAAACAGACTGATTGTCCCGTTGCAGAGTCAACTCCTGAAGTTTCTGCCATGAGTTGACTAGTCAGCTTCCAGAGAGTGACTAGAGTAGGGCTGTCGTCCTGCCATTCTTGGTCCATTGTTTCCTGGGAAGTGGAGTCCTGCTGAGGGAGTGTACTCAGCTTCCAGAGGGTGATCCTACATGGTGAAGCTGGATCAGGGATGCACTCCCACATGAGAGAAGCTGGTTTGACTCGACTGTGGTAGATCCAAGGAGCAATCTCTGCTACTTTAACTGCGGTGGGAGTAGACAAAATAACAACAAAAGGGCCCCTCCAATGGGGTTTTCGTGGTTGGATATTTTATTTTATTTTATTTTTTATCCAAACAGTATATTTTTTTTTAATACTGAGTAGAATTACCTTGGCAACAATATACTGTTAGTATATATGTCCAAGAAAACTCATTGTTTAAAAAAGTTAAAACCATCATCTCTAAGTATCAAAGGACATGTTTAGAGCAGTAAAAATATTTTGTCTCTATTTAAGTAGAAGACTCTGTCTAAACATATGAGTTTGTGTCTAGAAGGACTTTAGTGCCAGATAGCCACACATGCATGAGAACCATTTCTTTAATCCTCTCGGCCTTGGTTATTTTTGAGAGGTCTGGCACCAGTGACTCCATTGGAACTTTGATGGCATTACCCCCTTTGTCTTCAAATTGCTTGTTTCTGAGCAGTCTCTTCTGAAGATCTGTCTTCCATCCAAGTATTAACAAGGCCTGACCCTGCTTAGCTTCTGAGATCAGATGAGATTGAGTACATTCAGGGTGGTATGGCCATAGACTGAAGACCTTTCTTAATTGGTTGCTTTTTCCTGGATTTTGTTTGCGGAGGAGGATAATGAACAGATCAGGTGGGAGTCAGTGCCAGGTAGACCCTTTTGGCCAAATTAAAGCAACAAGGAGGCTTAGAAGGAGTGGCTCTTAAGCAGTAGGCTTCTAGACAAAATCTAACAAAAGCAGATGTCTAAAAAAGCTAACCTGGTTGACACACAAATAGTTATTAGAGTCATTTTTCTACGGACTTGATTATAAATGCCCCAGAATGATGAGAACTATAATGACAAAAACTTAAGAGTCATGGTTAAAATTTTGATGGACAATTTAGCAACTAGCAGAACAGTATATCAGTGCCATTAACCTTTTGTTACTGTGTTTATCTAAATTTTGTATTTTTGAAGGCTTGAAAAACATAAATATATTTAATACATTGGAACCAGCAACAGCATCACAGCTCTATAGAGGTTTTATATATATATATATATATATATATATATATATATATATATATATATATATATATATATTAGTTTAGTTGTTGCTCTTGAAGTAAAACCTTAAATTTTTTCATCAGTTTGGGGAAAGAACAGTAAACGCAGATAGCCCAGTCACAGACACATATAGGGTACCAACTGTATTAGAATCACCCAAGGCAGCAGTTGTTTAACCATGAGGTCATCTAGAAAGTTTTACATAAACTGTTAGGAAATAAGAGGCAGGGAAGAGGCAGAGAGATGTCTCAAACATAAGTACAGGGTTTATTGTTTAAGTAGGAGCCCTGTGGAGAGAGTCCCCAGCAAGAGAGCTAGAACCCATTACCATACACAGGCTTGGACTAGATAAAGGGGGCTAGTGGAAAAGTACCAGGAAGGTCACTAAGGGATATTATTGCTGGGCAACCAAGAAAGATAAGTTGTAGTTAGGTCACTGCCCAACTGTCCTTGGCTTTCATCCAGGGAGATAAAGGTAAGCTATCTGTAAGTGGCTATCCTCATTGTTAACCCTAACATAAACCAACTCTTAAGTGAACATGACTTAGTTACCTTAGTAGTCAAAACCCTGACAAAAATCACCAGAGAGCACAGGTAAATATGGGGACTAAGTGTCGAGTTAGGAAACATAGTGGCCAAGAATCATAGCTCAGATGTTGATAGGGGATCACATCCAGATTGTTGACATTAACATATGGCTCATGACTTACAGCAGGATCCCACCAACCTATAGTTAATGGAGCCCCTCTAAAATAATAGGCCCAATCTGGTCATCCCAGGCCAAAATTTCCCTCTGTCCAAAATGTGGAAGGAGTAGGACTAACATCTCTACTTTGTTGAGTCCAATAAAAACTGGAGGACTTGACTCTTAGTGTAGTCCTCCTTTTGAGTTTACATAAGTAAATCTGTCTTAACCCTCATATCAGCGCTGCCTCTTGTTTTTTTGTGTTTTAATAAACTCTTGTTGTCTTGCCAGATTTGTGGATTAACCTGTTGCACCAAAAA